GTGCCGAAGGTTTCTACCAAATCACAGCTGGACCTATACAGAACATTATCACTCAACAAATACTGAGCAGAAGTAAAAACTTTCAAGCAGTGGTCAGAAAACAGTAATGTTTCTGAGTCTTTAATCTCTGGCCTAATTGCACTTTGGGTGATGAATCTATTCTGGTATCTGGATTTTTTGCAATCCTATACATTTGTTGTTTTGTTCAAGCATATTGTGTCATTATGGATCACAGGGTGAGCAATTGTTAACTACTGGTGAATATTGTTAAAGAGCTAGCAAATAAACTATAGGCAAAAGAAGGCATAAGAACTAAGGGAGCATTCTCCCTTTTACCTACTTTTGGTTGAAAGAGCTAAATCCCTTGGAGCATGGACAGAAACAAAATATTTCTTACCATTTTCTGTTTCTACAACCCCTTTCATGAGTATGGGCTATCTTGACGTATTTCTCTACCTTGGAATTATTTGTTATATAAAATGGTACAATTGAGGACAATATAGCAGCCTGTTTTTGCATATATGCTGTGGTAACAATACAATAAAAAGCCAGGTTACGTGCTTTTTAATGGTGATGTTGATTAAGGGATAAATGTAGTTAGGACATCAGAAGACCTTGTTGAATAATGCCAAGGAATCGCATCTCCAGCAGAGAGGCCAAACGAGATTGCAGTTTAACAGCTGTATTGCAGTCTTTCAAGGATCAGCTAGAATCCAAAAACGTTTGACTCGGCAGCAAGAGGTGTAGCATTGATGTCAGCTGATCCTGGAATATGTGTTTCTAAATAAATACTGCTGAATTTCTGGTCAGTTACTTGACCTTGTTTTATGGAATATGGTGTGGAATTCTGGTTTTTTGGGACTAAGTGTGGAGATGGATGTAAAAACTTGAAGGACTTCCCTAACACGGAGAGGTTAGGTTTTCCTATGTGTCCACACTCTTCTCAGCTCGTTCTATTTTCATACTCTGGTAAAACACCAGCTTTTAGAGGTGGGCAGATAGGAAGTACCCCCAACCACCACCACCACCCTGGCGCGACCCACTGGTTGTGCTTTTAAAAAGGCATCCAGCAACACTTTAATTGCAGCAACATTAGTGGATCTGAACGAATTCACAGGTAAATGGACAGCTCAAAAGAGGGAGACTTTTAAAATAAAAAAATGAGGTAATGAGTTTAGAGACAGTATTTTTGTGTTAGTGTGAAGTGCAAGGCTGGTGGATGAAGGGAATGCTGGATAACTAGAGAAATTAAGGCTCTGGTCAAGAAAAAAAGAGTCATATGTCAGATAGAGACAGCTGGGATCAAGTGAATCTGTAGGACAGTACAAGGGCAGCACTCAAGATGGAAATCAGGAGGGCAAAAAGGGGACTTGAGATAGCTTTGGCAAAAAGGGTTAAGGAGAATCCACAAAGATTCTACAAATACATAAAGGACAAAAGCTTAACTGGGAGAGAGCAGGCTCCCTTAGAGATCAACAAGGCCACCTGTGTGATGAGGGAGGTGCCATTGCAACTAACGGAGAATTAAACCCAGGGACACCCATCTTGGAGCACTCCAAAGGTTCCCTGCACCACTACCTTCCCTCTGGCAGGGACCGAAATGCCTTTGTAATTTCAGGTAATGGAGATTGCACCTGCATGTATGCAGTAAATTATCAGAGGGCCAAAGCCTTTACACCCAAGTTCGATACAGGATTCCCAACAAATTTACGTGAAGCAAGGTGATCAACACGCTTCTTTGAATTCAGCTGCAGCTGCCAAGGTGCATCGAACTGTAGTGTTGGCAAAAGAAAGATTTGCAACATTGAATTTGCTTTGCACAGGGGATAACTTTCACATAGTGCTACATTTGAAACAAATATAGCATTTTGCTGGAAATTTTTAAAGACTTCTGACTTTTGCTTATATTGTAGACTACCTTAAAGTGTGATGATCACCCCTAAACATGTGCAGCAATGTGAAGAGCGCTAAGGCTCTCAATCTTTGGGAGGAGTAAAACCTCTAGAAAGCAGGAAGTTAAGTTACGTCATTTGGTTTTAGCAACGAATTGGCATTGTATACCCTTTTACCTTTCAGTGATAGATAGATGCCTCTTCCAACTGAAGGTTTGAGGCATTCAACTGCGATTCCTCTTTAAACTTTCAGGGCTCTGTACTAATTGTGGCCAGAAAACTGAGCAGGAGGTTATTGGTGCAAAGGGAGCAAATTCATTTCCAGTCATTGATTAAGTAGAACATTTCAACAACTTGAATTGCCTCAGGCAAGAACACCTCTGATCCAGAATTAGCTCCTACTTCTGAGGGTTCAGAAATGTTCATGCAAAGTCATTTGGCCTGAAATCAGCTTTTCACTATTATCTGACTATTATCCTGGCTTCCTGAACATCTTTTTGTCAATCTTTATTCTTTCATGGGAGGTGGGCCTCACTGGCAAGTCCAGGATTTGTCACCCGTCCCTAATTGCCCTTAATGTGAGTTTCTTCTTAGGCCATTGAAGATTATGGTTCTCCTCTTGCACTACTTGTCCACAGTTGTAGCCCTCTGAGCCTCACTTCTCTGTTTCTGTTGTTGTTCTTCTTCCTCCTTTATCTCTTCCTCTGTCTCAATCTTTGCAAAGCTAAAATAATGGCAGCATTAAGTGGAACAAATATGTA